ATTAGGGAGTGGTCATTATTTATGGGGAGGGGGTTGGGAAATGGGAGGGGGGGGGGGCAAACGAAGTTTTACCCTTATAAATAGGGGTGTCAAAAACGTTTTAACACAGAGAAAAGGGGTGGGTCATAAAAGTTTTGAACTTAAATACCATGTCTAGAGTTCTGATTTCTATAATCACAAATAGCAAAAAAGAAGACTCTGAAAATGCTATTTCCAACGATCTAGAGACTCACAATTTTCAAAATTTCCCTGCTCGGCGCCAACCATGGTAGCGCCTCGCGATCGCGGGGCTCGGGCCCACTAAGTTTAACAATCTTTCTACCCCCTGAGTGACCCAGTTGTGGTATTTACATAAACATACCATGCAAGTACACTTAACTGATCAGATTCGGTCTATCAACGCACAATGTAACGCTGTATATCCACAAATCTGTTTCAGAAAATGCTCACATTTCTGTTCTAGGGGTAGAAAAATACAAAACATTTTCTGGGGGAGAATACCCCCAGACCCTCCTACTAGTACATACGATACCACACCAAACTTTTTGTCACCAACAACCATCTGTCATCTCTCCACACTCAATATAGTATGGTGCCTTTTTGTAGATGCCCACCCCCCAGACAAGTTCTTAAAAAAACCCTGCGTTCAAATCATTTCGCTGTATGAAGACGGGTCATGGGTTAGGATTATGGTAGGACAAATGTTGCATTGCAAAGTAGTAACACATAATATATATTTTTTAATCATATATGGTTGAATCATATTCACCAGGGTAAAACATCATGAGCTAGATTAAACAGATTGTCCTAATATCTAACTTTACCTGCAACGCACACCTGTTTCATTGCTGTTAATTTTTCAATCCACACTGGGGGGGGGTCAGAAAAGTTTCTACTTTTATGAGGGGGGAGGCACAAAAAGTTTGCCTTCAGTCTGGGGGGGGGTCAAAAAAGTTTTCAATCCTTATTTTCCCCATTTCCCAACCCCCAACCCCCTCCCCATAAATAATGACCACTCCCTTAAAACGTTTTGCGAAGCGTTTGTGGTTGAATTTTACCTTAAATTGAGGCTTATATTACGTATAATAACATACCTAACATATATATGTTGGGAAATTAATAATTTTGTAATTAAAAGTGATATTTTTAGGCGATTTTTCGTTTGTAAGAATATTCTTAAAAAATTATCGTGTTACCATGACAACTACTTTAGATACTTCATGTTCGGAAAATACAATGGTTTTGTCAGCAAGGCGAGGGTTTCTGCATGCATGTATTTTCTAGTTCACCCGGCTATTTACACCCGGGGAAACGAAAGCATTAGCGAAGTCTAAAGTTCACCAATGATCGTGGGCGTGGCTCACTGTGCGTGGGTGGTCATCCTCACTGATCTCAAACATATGGCGGACTGTCATAAATAGCGAACACTGTGATTGATCCAATTTAAAGTTTGCATTATAACGACTGCATGACGGCAGCGAAATAGAAAACATTTCTTGATTTGATGATTGATAAATTTCTTGCAAATATATTTCATTTTTGCTCGCATTTAACGACGTTAACGAAGGTAAGTTTGTTTTAAATATTGATTTTATAGTTTTACTGCTCACCCCAAAGTTGAAACAAAAGGTTAAACCGGTCTCCCGAAAAGTGCGCCTGACGAAATGTAGTAACCTAATCGAACTGGGTATACATATGAATAGAGAGAACTGGGAAACAGTCTACGATGCCAGAGAGGTTGACGACAAAGTAAGTGCGTTCACTTGTACTATCGTGTGCATGCTTGATAAATCGCTGCCTAAACGCACTGCACGTGCCCACCTCTCCGACAAGCCGTGGATGACACCGCGTATAAAGCATGAAATAAAAGCTAGGGAAAAGGCGTTTAAATTTGGAGATATAACAAGGTACAAACTATTATGTGACAAAGTTACCTCACTTGTATCAAATGCGAAAAAGAATTACTATCAACTAAAAGCAGAGGGTACACGCGAAACGAATCCGGCAAAGTGGTACAAAACCATATTTGAACTTGCTGCCACTAATGACTGTAACTCTCAACCACCGGCTGATGATGCAGCAGACTTAGCGGAACGCCTGCAACAAAGCTTCACCAAACCTTGGCAGAATGCCAACCCCACTGAAATTCCGGACGTTGGGGAAATTGAACACCTACTTAAGAATGATACCAGTCCCCTGTTGCCTTCCATCGGACAAATTAAGGCTACCCTTAAACATCTAAATCCCAGGAAGGCCACTGGCTCAGATGAGATCCCTCCATGGTTACTGAAACGTTACCATGAAGAACTTGCCCCTGTTATTCATAACATCATATGCTCTAGCATCTCCCAGGCTAAATACCCAACCCTATATAAACACGCATTGGTCACCCAAGTGCCTAAAATATACCCTCCTAATGACATGGATAATGATTTTCGCCAAATCTCAGTATTACCGCAATTGGCAAAAGTCTTAGAAAGCATCCAACTTAAATTAAACAAAGGGAACCTTAAGATCAAGGACAATCAACATGCATTTACACATGGTAGATCAACTGTATCTGTATTGGCGAGCATCACCCAAAATTGGTTCAACAAGACTGAAAACTCACGTGATGGAAGAATGGGTATAAAATGAATATCAGTTTTATCAATTTTCAGCAAAATTTTTGAAAAATTAGTTTATAAAAGAGTATATAATTATTTAGAGTATCGCAATATTCTTAATGAATTTCAGTTTGGATTTAGAGCTAATCGTTCTACATCACATGCATTATTAAGTACTATTGAAAATTTGAAGGAGTCTCTTGACAAAGGTTCTTTTGGAGTTGGTTTATTCATAGACTTCAAAAAGGCCTTTGATACCGTTAACCATTATATTCTTTTAAACAAACTTGAATTTTACGGATTTAGAGGTGTTGTTAATAAATGGTTTCAGTCCTATTTGACAGATAGAAATCAATATGTATCAATTAACGGTACTAACTCAAGCCTTAAAGCTATTTCTTGTGAAGTGCCGCAGGGATCAGTTCTGGGACCCTTACTTTTCTTACTTTATATTAATGACCTGCCGTATTGTTCCAATCGATTGGCATTTCACTTATTTGCTGATGATACAAACATATTCTTTTCATCCAAAAATCTCGACTTGATTCAAACTACTTTAAACATTGAATTGAAAAATGTTTCACAATGGTTGAATGCGAATAGACTGGCTTTAAATATTGAAAAGACCAATTTCGTTGTTTTCCATTCTCCTAAAAAGAAACCTCATAAGGTTCTGTCGATTTGTATTGACAATTAAAGTATTCGTGAAGCTACTTCTGTTAAATATCTAGGTGTTCTTATTGATTCTACACTGTCTTGGAGACCTCATATTTCTGAGCTGTCCAAGAAAATTGCTAAATCAGTTGGTATAATATCAAAATTGCGACACTATCTCAATACTGACATTTTAATTTTAATTTATTATTCGTTAATATATAGTTTTATTATTTACGGTATTGAGATATGGGGTCAAAGTTATGTGTCCTACTTAAAACCCATTTCTACTCTGCTCAAGAAAACAGTACGAATAGTAACGTTTTCAGATTACCGATGCCACAGTGAGCCAATATTTAAATTGCTGAATTTACTAAAATTTAGTGACTTGATTAGTCTGTCTCTTTTAAAATTTGTTTTTCGCTGGAAAAACAAATTATTACCAGCGGTTTTTCAAATTATTATGATTTTTTGAGTGATACACATTCACACCAAAATAGACAATCATCAAATGATAATATTTTCCTAACACATAAAAGATCTGATCAATTTGGTAAAAGGTCAATTAAATATTCTGGTGCATTACTATGGAATTTGGTTCCGTATGAGATAAAATCAAGTTCATCACTTTCTATATTCAGTAAAAAGATTAAGCAATACATGATCGATGGGTATAGCTGTTAATCTATTTTGTAATTTTTCTGTTTACTATATTCGTTTGTTTTTTCTCAGTGTTGTTTTATATTATGTATGCTGATTCTAATTTATATTTCTTTATATCTCTTAGATAACTAAACCTGTAAATACAGGGTATTCTCCAGATTAGTTTTCACTATTAGGATACCCTTTACTCATCTTATTAATTATTGTCATGAATATTATTATTAATCTAGTTATCTATTTTCTATTTTCTTTATTTTTTGTAAGTGTTTTTGTTATTGTTGTATTTATGAAGATGAGTGAATAAAATCTATCTATCTATCTACTTTTACTCGAGTACAAATTCAAAGTAATTTAGGCACCACTGAACAAGACAGCATATAATTTCAGTGTATCTTTAATATTGATTCCCTTTTTTATGATATTGAATTTTTTAAATAAAAAAGAAAGCAAAGTTATTTGCAAGTGAGAATTTTAAATAATTTTATTGCAAACTCAAAGTTTAACGATAAAGCCATTTTAAAAGGCAGTTTGGTTTTATAAAGAACACTAGTGAGTAGTGACTTTAGGGAGTGGTCATTATTTATGGGGAGGGGAGTTAGGAAATGGGAGGGGGGGGGAAGTTTTACCGTTATAAATAGGGGAGATCAAAAAAGTTTTAACACAGAGAAAGGGGGGGGGTCATAAAAGTTTTTGAACTTAAATACCATGTCTAGAGTTCTGATTTCTATAATCACAAATAGCAAAAAAGAAGACTCTGAAAATGCTATTTCCAACGATCTAGAGACTCACAATTTTCAAAATTTCCCTGCTCGGCGCCAACCATGGTAGCGCCTCGCGATCGCGGGGCTCGGGCCCACTAAGTTTAACAATCTTTCTACCCCCTGAGTGACCCAGTTGTGGTATTTACATAAACATACCATGCAAGTACACTTAACTGATCAGATTCAGTCTATCAACGCACAATGTAACGCTGTATATCCACAAATCTGTTTCAGAAAATGCTCACATTTCTGTTCTAGGGGTAGAAAAATACAAAACATTTTCTGGGGGAGAATACCCCCAGACCCTCCTACTAGTACATACGATACCACACCAAACTTTTTGTCACCAACAACCATCTGTCATCTCTCCACACTCAATATAGTATGGTGCCTTTTTGTAGATGCCCACCCCCCAGACAAGTTCTTAAAAAAACCCTGCGTTCAAATCATTTCGCTGTATGAAGACGGGTCATGGGTTAGGATTATGGTAGGACAAATGTTGCATTGCAAAGTAGTAACACATAATATATATTTTTTAATCATATATGGTTGAATCATATTCACCAGGGTAAAACATCATGAGCTAGATTAAACAGATTGTCCTAATATCTAACTTTACCTGCAACGCACACCTGTTTCATTGCTGTTAATTTTTCAATCCACACTGGGGGGGGGGTCAGAAAAGTTTCTACTTTTATGAGGGGGGAGGCACAAAAAGTTTGCCTTCAGTCTGGGGGGGGGTCAAAAAAGTTTTCAATCCTTATTTTCCCCATTTCCCAACCCCCAACCCCCTCCCCATAAATAATGACCACTCCCTTAAAACGTTTTGCGAAGCGTTTGTGGTTGAATTTTACCTTAAATTGAGGCTTATATTACGTATAATAACATACCTAACATATATATGTTGGGAAATTAATAATTTTGTAATTAAAAGTGATATTTTTAGGCGATTTTTCATTTGTAAGAATATTCTTAAAAAATTATCGTGTTACCATGACAACTACTTTAGATACTTCATGTTCGGAAAATACAATGGTTTTGTCAGCAAGGCGAGGGTTTCTGCATGCATGTATTTTCTAGTTCACCCGGCTATTTACACCCGGGGAAACGAAAGCATTAGCGAAGTCTAAAGTTCACCAATGATCGTGGGCGTGGCTCACTGTGCGTGGGTGGTCATCCTCACTGATCTCAAACATATGGCGGACTGTCATAAATAGCGAACACTGTGATTGATCCAATTTAAAGTTTGCATTATAACGACTGCATGACGGCAGCGAAATAGAAAACATTTCTTGATTTGATGATTGATAAATTTCTTGCAAATATATTTCATTTTTGCTCGCATTTAACGACGTTAACGAAGGTAAGTTTGTTTTAAATATTGATTTTATAGTTTTACTGCTCACCCCAAAGTTGAAACAAAAGGTTAAACCGGTCTCCCGAAAAGTGCGCCTGACGAAATGTAGTAACCTAATCGAACTGGGTATACATATGAATAGAGAGAACTGGGAAACAGTCTACGATGCCAGAGAGGTTGACGACAAAGTAAGTGCGTTCACTTGTACTATCGTGTGCATGCTTGATAAATCGCTGCCTAAACGCACTGCACGTGCCCACCTCTCCGACAAGCCGTGGATGACACCGCGTATAAAGCATGAAATAAAAGCTAGGGAAAAGGCGTTTAAATTTGGAGATATAACAAGGTACAAACTATTATGTGACAAAGTTACCTCACTTGTATCAAATGCGAAAAAGAATTACTATCAACTAAAAGCAGAGGGTACACGCGAAACGAATCCGGCAAAGTGGTACAAAACCATATTTGAACTTGCTGCCACTAATGACTGTAACTCTCAACCACCGGCTGATGATGCAGCAGACTTAGCGGAACGCCTGCAACAAAGCTTCACCAAACCTTGGCAGAATGCCAACCCCACTGAAATTCCGGACGTTGGGGAAATTGAACACCTACTTAAGAATGATACCAGTCCCCCGTTGCCTTCCATCGGACAAATTAAGGCTACCCTTAAACATCTAAATCCCAGGAAGGCCACTGGCTCAGATGAGATCCCTCCATGGTTACTGAAACGTTACCATGAAGAACTTGCCCCTGTTATTCATAACATCATATGCTCTAGCATCTCCCAGGCTAAATACCCAACCCTATATAAACACGCATTGGTCACCCAAGTGCCTAAAATATACCCTCCTAATGACATGGATAATGATTTTCGCCAAATCTCAGTATTACCGCAATTGGCAAAAGTCTTAGAAAGCATCCAACTTAAATTAAACAAAGGGAACCTTAAGATCAAGGACAATCAACATGCATTTACACATGGTAGATCAACTGTATCTGTATTGGCGAGCATCACCCAAAATTGGTTCAACAAGACTGAAAACTCACGTGATGGAAGAATGGGTATCCACGCCCTATTTATTGACTTTTGCAAAGCATTTGATCTGGTGGACCACGGATTGCTTTTAAGGAAGCTCGCCAAAATGAACGTGTCGAAAAGCTCCTGGCTATGGACACGGAGCTTTCTAGAAGGGAGGAGTCAGTAGTACAATTACAAGGTGTTCTGTCATCTATAAGGCCTTTCCCTTCCGGAGTCCCCCAGGGATCTGTTGTATCACCAACATTGTTTAATGTTCATGTGGATGACCTCGAAGACTGCATTCCCAATTATCTGGACATCAATACGCACAAATACGCAGATGACTGCACTCAAGATGAAGTGATTCCATACGGTTCTGCTAGCAACATGCAAGAGGTGCTCGATGCAATAAACGACTGGGCACATGGAAACAAGATGAAACTTAACGCGAAAAAGACGAAAGACATGTGGATCTGCTTTAAAGCTGCAATTCCTGAACCATCACATCTTAAAATTGGCGATGATACAATTGAAAGAGTAAAGTCATTCAAGTCTTTGGATTGACAATACCCTTAAATGGAACACCCACATTGACGAAATTGCAAGGAGGGCAAACAAACGCTTATTCTACCTACGGAAGTGTCGTCGAGCAGATCTACCAACTAATGTGGGTTTGACGTGCTATGAATCCAAATTAAGACCGGTTTTGGAATATGCGGCCCCAATTTGGGGTGGCCTGCCACAATACCTTACTGACGAACTGGAGAGTATCCAGACTAGAAGCCTGAAAATTATAGATCTACCTTCTGATTCTCTTCAATCTCTAGAACAACGTCGGGATAAACTTTCCATTCGCGAGTACGAGAAAATCATTAATGACGAAACACACCCATGCAGGAAGTACATACCAGACATGGTGACGAACAAGTATGAACACCAAAAACTCTTCCCGGAATTTTCTCATACACTAAAAGGCATGAACTATCGTTCATTCCCAGAACAAACTTATTATTATAGACAATATTTTTATAACTATTCCTACAATTTTTATCTGTACATATAACTACTAGACTACTACTTAGATTTTTACTTTAAATCCATTGTATTTTTACACTAAAGATGGATCAATAAAACTATTATTATTATTATCGATAAAGCCATTTAATCACAGAGTAGAGACATACAGAGACGTAACTAGTGTACCCACTTTTTTTGTGCGCGTGCTCGGCAAATTACTAGATGCATGCATCTGATTGGATGACGACCTGATGACGACTCACTTTAGACTTGCTGAGCACGCGCAGTTGATCATTTTTCGCCCGGTCGCCTGAAAAAAAGTGGGTACATGATAACGTAATCTTCCGCAGTGTTTACGACGGTTAGTTACGTCTCTGTATGTCTCTACTCTGTGATTTGATTAAAGGCAGTTTAGTTTTATAAAGAACACTTTAAAACGTTTTGCGAAGCGTTTGTGGTTGAATTTTACCTTAAATTGAAGTAGCTATTTTATATTACGTATAATATCATACCTAACATATATATGTTGGGAAATTGATAATTTTGTAATTAAAAGTGATAATATCATTTTTAGGCGATTTTTCATTTGTAAGAATATTCTTAAAAAATTATTGTGTTACCATGACAACTACTTTAGATACTTCATGTTCGGAAAATACAATGGTTTTGTCAGCAAGGCGAGGGTTTCTGCATGCATGTATTTTCTAGTTTAAAAAAAAATTAGTGCCCGCATGCAATTGCAGGCCAAGTATAGAAATTCTGTAAACAGAAATACTTGCTGTGTTTTGTTGTCTGCTGTCATGTGTTGTGCTTAAGCTTATTTACATGTATTTTGTTTATCAAAGTACTGTCAGTTCAATATCTTCGAAAGTATCGGCATTGGGCCTGATTTTAGTTTTAAAAGCACAAATTAAAACCATGCCCATTAGTACATTTTGTATGATCCCTATATAGTATTTTTTTATAATGACGAGTATTTTTCAAATTTTTGTGTTAAAGATCGATCATCTGCAACCAATCGAAGTAGATCAGGAGGAGGGAGGGGTGGACCTCCAGGCAGAGGTGGTCCTGCTCCTGAGGAGTTTAAAACACAGCTTATAAAGACCTTGTTTGACGTTAATGTCACTTTTAATAAGGTAAAAATAAATTAGTATTTTAATTTTATAAAAATCCGAGGTAATTCAGCCAATGTGTAGATTGTGAGCAAGATTACGTATAATTAAAAACTTATTGTCGTGGTTGAGAATATAGTACAGAATAAATAGCAAAAACTTTATTAAAAACAGCGACCAGGATCACAGGATAGGGTTCAAGTGCTCAACCTTAATAATCAAAATTTAAGAGTAATAACCATAACCCCTTCATTCAGGCATTAAAATAGCGTGTCCTTGTACACACTTTGTGTCCTTGTAAAAGGCGAATGTGCCCTTGTAAATTGAAAAGTGTGTACTTGAAAATATATTAAACTGAAAATATATTAATGTAATCCACGCAAAATGGCCAAATATTTTCCAAATTCTGTTCTCAGAACACTGGAAATGCCATTTCAGAGACCCCCTTAAAAGCTCGCGTCTTCGACTCTAAATTTGTGGCTTTGCCACTCGTTCTCGTGAGTCTGCGCATTTATACCAAAAATACGCCTCTGAAGGCAAAGTGTGTCTTTGTAAAAATTCCGTATTTTAATGCCTGCCTTCATTCCTCTTCCAAAAGACCAAAACAACCAGGGAGGGAGGGAGGGTGGGAAGGAGGGAGGGAGGAAGGAAGGAGGAGGACATCAATGCAATAAACAGTGCGTATATTATCCAATAATCCTTAAAACCATTGTTTAGGGTAAACTTATTGGGATATGTGGCGGTGTTGGAAGCGGTAAAAGTTCTTTGATCAATGCAATCCTTGCCCAGGTAAGTAGGGGCGCCGTTATTTGGCAAATTTCTGTCACGTTTTGGAGGTAAAACCTCCATGTGCAACACCGTGAACACTAGTAGGGGCTGATAAAGTCCCTTTTGAAGAAGAAGAAGGTGAAGAGGAGGAATGCGCACGCGCCACTGATCTGTGTAAACACTGGATAACGCCTTTGTTGAAGCGTGAAGACAGACGTAATTCTGTACCACCTGAAGTACCATGCAGTTTATTATACATTTGTATTATAGAATCATAGTTTTCGCCATTCATACATTGCTGATTGGGGCAGTATCTTAACCCAATGTTTCGATTTCAAAACGTTGAAAAAGGGTTTGTAAGTTCATTCGAAGGGGCGAAGAGTTGCTGTCTTGTTCGTGATTTTCAACGTTGTTTTAAACAGACAAAGGGTAATTTCATTCAAAATACAGTGTTTAATAAAATGCTATAAACCCGTGTAATAGCTTGTAAGTAAAATTAGAATTCGCTAGAAAATTAAAATCAGTATACTATCAACTCCGATAAGTTATATAACGTTCCCTTATTTTAGATGAATCTCGTTGAAGGGAGTGTCTCTGTCAATGGCTCCATGGCTTATGTTGCTCAACAGGTACGCGAAAAGATGCAAGAAGATTTTTCAGCCGTGACTACGTTCACATGAAATCGGACGAATTCTGTCCCATTTCTTTGCACGGAAATTCTTGCGGATTCATCCGGTTTCATGCGTTCCATGTAAACGCGCAGGACGAAATCGTGCTCTTGGGTACGTACGGTTCCAAATTCGTCCGATTCTTAGTGAACGTACAACGTAGTCTACTAGTCTTATGTCGTAAAAACAGAATACTTGCATGCAACGTGTACGATATACTGTAATATACTGTTGTATGTTTTGTACTGGAAGTAAATTTTCGCTTTAAATTTATGTTATTATCAAGGCATGGCTAATGAATGCTTCTGTCATGGAAAATATCGTATTTGGTCAAGCGTTCAAACCTGGACGGTAGGTGTATATTCCTTTTCATTTGCATAATCTTAAAAAAATAGGTCATGCGTACGGTCAGGGCCGTCATGGAGGGTAGGGGGGGGGGATTTTGCCCCGGGCCCCCAACGCCGACGTCGTACCCGGGGCTTCGTAGTCCACGTATACGTAGTCTGCTTCTCCCATTTTACAATTATGACGTCATAAGACCCCCTTGAAAAGTTTGCCTCCGGGCCCAGCGCTTATTCTCTTGTTAGTCAATATTGAATGACATCAATTACCGGCTGTTGCTAACAGCCGGTAATTGATTGTCATATAGGTATGAAAAAGTAATTTCAGCATGCAGTTTGAAGCAAGATCTGGACATATTCCCACACGGAGATCAAACAGAGGTCAGTCTTATGAAGTTATGATACTAGCTGGTAAAAGAGTTGAGTGCATTGCATGTATTCTACCTGCATATATATACTGTACGACAGAAACCGTTGTTGATATTTGATGGATTCTGACATTTTTAGGGCCTTGTATCACAACGGCGCGGAGCCCTGGACCTTATTCTTGAAGGACACCAACGTCCTTTTAATAAAACTTGATTGATTGAATGAAATTCACCATATGTCACCAAAAAATGAAGTTTAGGGAGTTTCAAAAGTCGTCCAGGCTCTGTTGAAAACGGCAAAATACTGATATTTCCATTAGGGGCGGCGGAACATATTTTATTTTGGGGGGCTACAAAAATACGGATATGTACTAATTATGCATAGATCATTTAATCTCGTGACTCAATGATGATGAATTAATGTCTTGAGCAATCGAAACCGCAATCAGCACATAACTGGACATAAAACATAATAAGCATTCTAAAAATGTTAACCAAACTCGAAATACAATTGTATTCCATAGTCTATTCTCTCGCTTTGACACAAAGAGCGCAAACACAAGATAAATGCAATGCATGCATCAGAAGTTCTTATTCTATGTTCTGTTCGAAATCGTGGGTTAGAATAAATCAGGATAAATCCAGCTATAGACGAAATATTGAAGAACGAAACCATTAGCATAGCTGGAAAGAGCATCTTAAAATGAGTAAAATTGCAAAGTTTGGTTGCGAATTGTTGTAAAATGAGGAAAATATATAACTCTGTGAAGTTCGCAAATTTTGTATAATAATTATACTGTATATATACAACATTTGCGAACTTCACAGGGCTATATTTTCTTCATTTTACAACATTTAGCAACCAATCTTTGCAGCTTTACTCATTCTAAGACGCTCTTTCTAGCTGTGGTGTTGGATTTCGTTCTTCTTGCTTTGATCAAAATTTTGTCTATAGCTGGAATCACCCATTAGGAAAGTCTGAAACTTCTTCACTTAATTACTTTTATTTGTCCCATTTCCGAAATAACCATAAAGGCCAATACTCTGACTTTGTAGTATTTACTGTATACTTATGCAAGGTGAAAGGAAATCAATTTACATTCACTTGATCACAAAGTAGGATATTTTCTTTTGCATTTTAGTCGGCGAGCAATTTGACGACTTCGTAGTTTGTATAAATGGTCTCGCATTCTGGCATTCTTCGTGTATTGCGGCGGAGGGGGGGGGGGGGGGCTAGGCCCCCCTAGCCCCCTCTTACGCCGCCACTGATTTCCATGCCTCTTATACAACGTTACAGTTAAAGTTTATTGAAATTGTTCTACCTTCTGAAACTTATTTAATGCATAGGATAGTATTACCTTTGACTCAGCGCGGACATAGTTTTTGCCGTTGACGTCTTCTACGTAGTAAACTCTTGTGACCCACATTTAGGTCGGTGAACGAGGAATAAACCTCAGTGGTGGACAAAAACAAAGAATTAGTTTGGCAAGAGCAGTATATGCTGACAAGGTAGGCATATACCACTGAGAAGTTCTATATTTGTTTTTGTTTCGAAACTTGTACATCTAGAGTTGGTTAGTCTTGGTTATTCAAAGCTGAATTAGCCCTAATCCTCGGTTAAAATTTAACCTTTTTTCGTGTATGTATTTCTGCACATCTTTTTGTTTTAAAACTTTGGAGAAGAAAATTCCTACTTAGCCAGACAAGATATCTATAGAAATATTTCAGAATTTATAAATACGCTGTTGGAAAGTTTTCTTTGAATTTTGCTTATTGGCTTTCAAACAACCGACCCCTGTGTTAAAACTGCTTCTGCTGTTTCTAGGATATCTATCTGCTTGATGATCCACTTAGTGCAGTTGACAGCCATGTTGGACAGCATGTTTTTGATAATTGTATCAAAGGCACATTAGCTGACAAAACTATTATATTTGTCACTCATCAATTACAGGTATGGTTATCAGTTATAGATATATGTTTTGTTGTTAAAATCTGGACCTCGATCATAACGGTCTTGGGTTACAGGGTCGTACGCAGGATTTTTTCACCTGCAGGGGGCAGTAAGGCCTATATGCTGCAAATTAAGTATTTTAATACTTAAAAGAGGACTTTTTTGTATGTTACGTAACACGCGCTCAAATATTAAACTAATGCGTATAATATACCACTTGAGGTTATGACTAAATTCAAAATTTTTATTTTTCGATACGTTTCTCAATATGTTTATGCTTTATCTGTAAAAATTGCTGTAAATATGGCGTCAATTTTAAAGCATCAATGATAATTGTATTTTAATTGACAATTTTTAACTATTATTTTATGTTTCTCAACCGGCAGATGAAATTTAAAACGGTGGCTAACTCTATAAACTAGAGAATAAAGCTAAAACAAAGTAATTTTGAGAGGAACGCCAAGAAGATTTTAGATTTTGAACACTTTTCATTGCGAATACGCGACATTGAAAAAAATTTCCTCTTAATAAACATTTCATCACTTTCGTCTTCGTTGCATGTTCCAAGCATTTGACGGAAGTCCCAAATACCCAAAGAATAATGGCGCCTCTAGTACTGTATTGCGTCCCTGTTGGGTTCGTATTTGTTACCTATCATCTCTATACTGTCTATATATCTAACATCGCATTTGTCCCGTTCGATGTTATAACTATAATAAATTTCGTGACTTCGATGAAATGCACAGTTTCAGTATTTAATATTCGTAAGTACAAATGTATATAACTGCTTTAACGCCGATTTACACTTACACAACTTTTGCCTAAAACTGTCGCATGCAACCTGCTTATAACTTGAGTTGTGCTGCGTGAATCAAGCACACAACTCACCTGCGACAACGTAGACGTACACAGTACAACTCAAGACAGTTTTAGGCAAAAGTTGTGTAGTGTAAATCGGTCTTTAGATGTTTAATTTATACACGCTTTCAATATATGCTGAAAATATATCAGTGAACAATTTAAACTTTGTTTTATATTATAGTATCTGAGTCATTGTGACACAGTCATTCTTTTGAAAGATGGACGTATTGCTGAAATGGGTCAATATGAAACACTTATGCAAGATGAAAAAGTATAACGTTGAAAATTAAACCATTTAAGGTGGCTCGATGTAGTTATCACAAAAACCCTGCTCAAGAATCGCAAACAAATCCGGGTGACCATTTTTACGTGCAAGTCGCGAAAACTGATTAACAAAATGAAAGAACTTCCAAAATGACATGACGAGCACTTGCTCGCGTCATATCACGCCATTGCGCGTGTTCTATAGCGTTTTATGTCAATTGCTGATGTCATTAGAATTTGTCTTTTTAGAAAAAACAATGCGCTATATTTCTCTATTTTGTCCGGTGACCTATGTTCAAATTTTGCATGCTGTATCGCACGTTTTCGCATTTTTCGAAAAAAATGGCATTACAGAATTTTTTTATACTTTGCTAATTGTTAGCTTTTCATCCAAGTAAAATAATGCACGAAAAAAAATTGGGGTCACCATGCTTCTTATCCAACTATACGAGACGATAGGCCATTTTGGAGTAAATTTCGTACACGTATGTTGTAGTCATAGCAACGAACTATCTGTTACTAAAATTAATATAATTTGAAAGTAGAGATATGTAAAACACCAATATCTGCTGAATAAATCCTAAAAATGCGTAGTTTGAAAACACCAATATCTGCTGAATAAATCCTAAAAATGCGTAGTTTGAAGATGTCAAAGTGTTGAACACCTGAATTTTTGAAAACTGTATCGAGCCACCTTAACCAGCTATATGACCTGCAAGTGTCTCTGTAGACAAGAAAAATGGCCACGCGCAGGGCATCAACTTTAATAACAAAAGGGGCCCATAATGAATGGTTGACTTTGCAGGGATTTCATTTTGTATACAGTTGAATCAGAATGAATAATAATTAAGAAAACCTTAGTTTTGCATTTGTATAGGAAAACCTAGACTTTTGGTAAACTGATTCAGTATACCGATATTGGTTGCAATACTAATTTGAAACAATTGAAGAGAATGTGGGAGCCTTTAGTATAACAAGCTTTTGCAAGCAAAGCGAAAATTTAGACATAGCATCACTTTACTATACACATTGAAAGTCCACGTCTTAGCAATCCGTTTTTGTGACGTTGTTGTAATTATTTTCGGCTCGCTCAACTACATGTAAAAGTTCATACAAGTCAATTCATACAACAACTTTTTCCGTTAGGATTTTTCAGTTTTAATAAACAATTATCATCAGAGGTTGGAGGCAGAAGAGAACGAGGATGAAGATGAAGAAGAAGACACCAGTAAACTTCTTGAAGAAATTGTAAGAAAGAGAACTCTTTCTACTCAAAGTATTGGAGACAATCAGCCAAATGCGACTGAAGAAAAGAAAGAAATGAACGACGAGAGTAAAATGAATGGAGTGGAGAAGGGAAAAGGTAGGACTGAGGATTAAAAATGAGTTTCCATGCACAATATAATATTAATATGGCATAGGATGTTGTAATATCACTTGAACAGGAGTCAATGAATCAATTTGCCAAATTACGCCAAAGTCGCCAAGTATAGGCCTATAACAATTCGTAGAATTATGACAACTTTTTCAAGACCGTTCCACTGATTCACATGCAGTTGCACTCGACATCATACGAGATTTCAAATTAATTATATCTTGTATATTATATATTCCTGTTGATAAATATTAATTCATTTGTGAGGTAGAAAGTACTCTAAAAATAGAGTTAAAATGTTGGAGTAAAAAATACTCCCAAAACAGAGTCAACTGGTACCTTTTTTTTACTAGTATCTACTCCTTGAAATTAACAGTTTGAACACACAAATTTTTCTTTATTTTAGATAATCTTATGAAAGCCGAAGATCGGAAAAAAGGAGGTGTATCATTTTCCACATATATACGTTATTGTAAAGCAGCTGGAGGTTAGTTTCTCAGTCGTTGAGCATGCATGATATTTGATATTATTCTCTCTTGAAAATATACAACAGGTTTTGGTAAATAAGTACTTATTCATTTACTGTGCACAATTAATGGGCAGAAATTCGCTCCAAAGCACTCTGCAACCGCACGGCTGCATGCATGCCATTGATATATTCCATATATTTCGAAACTGCATGCTTGTAAATTAAGCTCGACATGCATGAAATGGTGCTAATCTCCTTATCCATCAGAGCAAATTTATCCAAGGGCTCAAATTAGCAACGTAAGTGCAGTCGAGAGCGAAATGTTTGGGGGCACACAATTTGACCGACATGTAATAGATCATTTTTGAATTTTGTAAATTTAATGTTTTGATATAGAAACAAAACGCTGTAAATCATACTGTATAAAAACCATTTCATTGCATTTACAATGTAAGGTATTTACCTTTGTCTATATTAAAAGACCGAAATTCGCTCAAAACGAACATTAATCGAGAAAGGTAATGCAGTAACGTTGTGTAAATCGGATTATTAATTAATACAATCGTAAATACATGCACTTAAGTAAAATGCGTAGTATAACCTATATTTAGTAACATGTACAACCTTGATTGTTGCTCTAGGTTTTTGCGTTGCTGCCAGTGTGGTATTGATGCTGCTCACCATAACGTTGTTGAGAATTTTTACTGACTTTTGGCTTGGGCGTTGGATCAATGATGGAAATGGCAACAGCGTAAGATGCAACTCTTGTTTTAGACCTGATTCACTGTACAATGTGCCATATATATCCACACATATAATAGTTGGAATATTTCCAAATAGTAAAAACGAAAAAGTCTGCATTGGTGATGTGTGTCAACGACGATTTTTCGTAGAGCGTATCGCAGCTGAGCTAGGCTGTATGGCAATGTTGTACTGTATATTGCCTTGAAATTTGACGAATCATTGTATTTCATTTATTTTAGTTTTCGATCAATAAATCTATAACTTACCCTGAAAATTGAGTTGCTAACAAAGCAACAAACCCTGCGCGCGTGGTCAGTTTGTTTACTAAAATTAATTAACATGTATATAGGCTATATAGCCTTAATTCTTAATTTGAATACATTTTTAAAATTTTAGACTGAAAGTGATTCGTCTCCTGGTGAATTAAATGACAACCCTGATCTTGATTTCTATGCAGCTATTTTTGGATCATCACTGGCACTTCTTATGTTTCTTCTTGTCGTAAAATGCTTCATCTTTGTGAATACCATTCTGCGTGCTTCGTCTAACCTTCATAATCAGGTATTCCGGGCTGTCACGAAAAGTCCCATGGAATTCTTTGACACGACGCCTATTGGACAGATCTTGAACAGATTCTCAAAAGACATTGATGAGATGGACACAAGATTACCTTTCTTGGTGGAATTTTTGATCCTAAACTTGTCTTTACTACTAGTGATCATAATCCTCATTGCTGTGCTATTTTACTGGTTTATTATAGCGCTTGTTTTCTTCATTGCTCTATTCATTTTCCTAAATATTGTTTTTCGTCGTTCTGTTCGTGAGTTAAAACGTCTCGATAACATCACAAGGTCTCCTATTTTCTCTCATATTTCTGCCTCAGTACAAGGACTTTCAACTCTGCATGCCTACGGGAAAACTGAGGAATTTGTGGAAAAATTTGAAAAATTACTGGATGGAAATACTTTGCCATTTTTCATGTTTGCTTGTTCTCATCGTTGGTTGGCTGTGCGGCTAGATTTAATAACTATTGGTATTACAACAGTCACAGCACTGCTTGTGATTCTGCTTCGAGATAATGTTCCTGCTGCCATGGGTGGACTGGCTATTACTTATGCTATACGAGTAAGTAGCTAGTTTATAGCATCTCGCATTTCCAGTGGCCTCCTCTGTAGGAATCTCACCCGAGAAATCACGTGGTCGGAGAGGCCTGCGGAGGAAAATATGTTTACAGTAAAAATAAAATAATTATTACTCGGCCTTTTTTTACAGTTCACCGGCATTGTAACCAACTTGCAGTGTATACTATATGAAACCTATACTATATCTCCTGGGATTCTCCAAGATCATATCAGTTTCCGATTATCAGTTTCAAGAATTTCCTGGAAATATTTGTTTCAGTATTATGTTGTTGCTTATTACACTATTTACTATTTGACCAAATCTTATTAATATCGTTCACATTTTGTTGTCAGATGTCAGGTTTCCTGCAATTCACAGTTCGTCTTACAGCTGAGACTGAAGCAATGTTTACCAGTGTGGAACGTCTTCTTCATTACATCGATCATTTGAAGCAAGAAGGTCCCAGCTCAATTCCTGACAAGAAACCTGCCGATGTCTGGCCTGCCAAAGGAAGTTTGTCTATGGTTGGTCTGAAGGTAACTTTATTGCGTTCACCAATTTATAAAAATATATCGTTTCTAGCCTACAAGCGTGGAAATTAATTTGTAGACGATTGAAAAATTTCCAAAATCCCTCCTCTCCCCATACAATGTTGACGTGTCAATGGTGTCATTCAGTAATCAATGTTTTGAGCAACATTGTGCTATAGGGGGAGGGGAGGCATGCAGTATTTCAAACTATCATGGACGTTGTATAAAATAATAATAACATGACTTTACAAAATAGTAAGACATGATATAGCTACGTTTTATGAAAAGTCTGTGAATATTATCAAGCATGCCCATAACCACTTAATCCCCACTGGCAAATCACAACATAATCCAAACGGTATCTCAATGGCGCTCACTTACGTGGTATAAACCGTAAAAACGGTCCACTACTCAGCTATACGCCCTGTCACTGCTCAAGATGTTTTCATTTCGACGCTGTAACTACTAAAAATCGTCTTGAGCTGAGACAAAATCAACATCTAAAATTATCAGCCACCGTGACTACATAAAAATATATAATATAAATTGCCAAATTTACGAAAATCTTATAAAACTTGGAAGATAAGATCAGGCCTTCTGTTAGCCGTCTCTGTGATTTATATAATTTGTTAATATTCCAATCAAGAAATTAAAATCGATCGAGTGTCCTTTACAAGGGTTGTACGTTGTGAAGTTCATTTCACAATACGCGACGTTGTCCTGCGTATTACGGTTTCATTACTATAATTATAAACATATTACTCAGATAATCCTGTCTTTTGTTTTACCAGATGCGATACAGAGAAGGTTTACCATTGGTCTTAAAAGGAATCACTTGTAATATCAAAGCCGAGGAGAAAATAGGCATTGTAGGTCGAACCGGTTCAGGAAAATCTTCCATTGGAGTATCTCTTTTTCGACTTGTGGAACCTGCAGATGGGACAATATGTATAGATGGAGTCAATATATTGGACATTGGTAAGAATGATCAACAGTCAAGTTATACCAGGTTGTAATTATTTAAAATATAGTATTGCCATAAAAGAAGATTGACCCATGCACGTGCTTTTCATTAGGTTGGTATCCATTCCTGTACTAAAGTACTTCTGTTGCTTTGAAAGCAATGACGCTTTGATATGGTGGATAGTTTCGCTCTATAAACTACATAACTACAACCTAATATTTTATTTCACTTCCACTTAAATTAGTATTTTTGTTTTGTTCTTGTCTGCTTTCCAGGACTCGATGATCTTCGATCAAAATTATCGATTATTCCACAAGATCCTATCTTGTTCATTGGAACTGTAAGGTAATTCAATATGAAGAACCGTGAACACTTTGGGAATAAGAGGCTAGAATTAATTTTCAATTTTGGTAAACATGCATGATGGTTAACCTATGCAGGAGCTAAGACTGGACAAACATTAATTTAATTCAATTGGCATATTGTCTCAATACGATTATGGCTATATTGGTTCTCAAATAATGTTTTTAATATCGATTAAACCAACTTTCGTTCTATTATGAATCGTTGGCATAGTTTTAAGTATTTTCATAATCTTTATTAATTACAAATTACTGTCGTTCCAATTGAAGTGTTCCTCAATTATTGATTCAATACATTACCTCAGGCTGACCAATTCATTTCATCAAGTTCCTCGAGATATTCATACACTTCCTGTGAAAGAGCCAATTCCAAGAATTTGATCATTTCTGGTCACTTCCTTTCTATTTATGATTGGTTAGTTGCACAAACAACAAAGGTGATTGGTGCATTCAAACTATTCAACAGGAAGTTTACAATTATACTAGGAAGTGTATGAATATTTTGAGGAACTTGATCAAATGAATTGGTCAGCCCGAGGTAATGTATTGAATCAATATTTGAGGAACACTTCAATTGGAATGACAGTAATATTATTAGTTAAAATATGACCATTGTCGCCTTGCACTATATATATATATATATATATAACATATCGTAAAATAAAATAGTAAAAACAAGCAGAATGTGTTAACCAGATAAACGTATTGCTGCAGTTATCCACCTGTAAACATGTCTGACAAATACTGTTAATTTATACATGATATAGGCTACCCATGATATTTCTTATTTGGTTCCAATAAATAGATATAATCTGGATCCATTTCACGCACATGCCGATGAAGACGTATGGATTGCTTTGGAAAGAGCACATCTAAAAGACACTATCAGTAACTTGCCGTTGAAATTAGAAGCACCTGTTGTTGAAAATGGAGAAAATTTTTCTGTTGGTGAAAGACAACTGATGTGCATGGCCAGAGCTTTGTTGAGAAACTGTAAGGTTGGTATAAGTGATTAATTGCGGAAGTAAGAATGACCTTGCTTTACCCAACTCCATGCCCAACCATATAATATAGATGTTTCCCGATTATGGTCCTGAATGATGCAAGCTGTTTGTGATATATAAGACGATAAACATTTCTATAAACATGTCCACAACCAAATCTTAGCCCAAATTTAACTGCATGCATGATAATCCTAAACATGCAGCTTGCATCATTCAGGACCATAATCGGGAAACATCTAGATTATATGGTTGGTGGAGTTGGGTAAATACATCATAATTGAATTTCATACTCCTTACAGTAATAATTCATAAGTAAATTTTCAAAATTACCCAACCGTATTGCTTTATTTTGCTCACATGATAACAGGTGGGCAATTTGTCGACGCTGACCAAAAATAGCGACTCATTTCTTCTTGAGTTGCCATTTTCGCGTCGAAGAGCAAAAATACAGACTTTCGGAGAATATTTTAGCTGTTTACTATCAAATATGTTTGTGAAACAGTTGATAATCTCACTGAGGAAGGCCAACGGTTTCTGTAAAGCTAAAGTACGTCGAAATCAGCGTTGGAATAGACTATATTTTCACCGGGGAAACATGAACTAAATGGATATTTACACCAGGGTGCATTTTAAGTTACCCTGGAACCAGAGGGTATTTATTTTCGCCTGTTTTGAATAACCCTCTGGTGAAATTGGCGTAGTTTTTGGGTTCACATTCCACACATAACTTTCAAAAATGGAAGCAAAGACAACGTTGATTGGCTGCTGACTATAGGTTCGATAGACTACGTGTTCTGATTGGATATTGTAAACATCATACCCTGTTGGCAGGCGTTTCGACGGTTTCGTGTTTTGATTGAATTGAAACATTTGAATTTTGAAATGTCTATATTATTAAATAAACGAACAAAAGTTGAAAGAAGCAGTTTTATATAGGCTGCATTGATAGATAGATTGATAAATTTCCTGAATTAAAAGTTTAACGGAGCATCAATACCGCGCCTTGTCCAATTTGATTCACATTAAAGATGTACTTGCATCTTGCTATCGGTTATGGGAACAGTGGCGTGCTGGCAGGGGAGGGCGGGGGTCACGCCCCCCCCCAGCTGGCAATTCTTGGGGGGCGCAAAAATGAAAATGGGGCGCCGAATTTTGAAAGTGGGTGGGAAAAAACACATTGTCGAAAAAATATGGTTACTTCCGCCAAGAAAAGACGTGTTTATTGGCTACAGTATAAAACAGACTAAGCGCATAGGCGACATATATTAAATTGCAGACTATTTTGCCTAACTGTATTTGCTACCTCACAGCTCACACGAAATCGTTCATATAGAAACATTATCAGTGATCACAGGCAATGTCTCATTACCGGAATATTGGTCAGGTTTCGATCGAAGCGATCACGGGAATTATGCCCTTTTGGGCTGGTATTATGCCCTTATAATATGCCCTTTATTATGCTTCACGAATCACGAGGGCGGCGCAAATTTGATAGTTGAAATTATGATAACTGATGTAAAGTTGTGTACGCAATTTAGTTGTTTGCACAAGAAGCATGAGTAATGTAAGTGATGAAATAATGCTGAAACATGCCCTTTTGGCAGCCAGGCAAGGAAACCTTAAAATGCATATGCGTGGGGTGCGTGTGTTATTGTATAAAAGAGCTTTAAGTTGTAAATGTGCTCAGAACAGTAGATCAGTAGAGAACAGAATTGGGATTAAATTAATTGCTGGAAGTAGTTAGCATTGCATAATTTAAGTACCACTACTAAATTCTAACCAAATTGCAAATTTCGACACGTTATAATGCCGTTTCCTGACCATCAGATTTCTGTCAAATCTTCCCCCAAAGTCCAGGAAATGGCATTTCAGATACTCTAAATTCAAAATTTTTCCTGGGGGGCATGCCCCCGGACCCCCTAGACAAACCTCGCACCTGCGGCACTCGGCTCGTGCCTTCGGCCCTCGTTTATCAAGTGTAACATTATAGGGGCGCATATTGGTTGACAGCCCAGTGGCCCCTCCAGAAAATAGTACCCAGCACGCCACTGTATGGGAAGAGTTTAATATTCCAAAATTCTAACACCGAGAGTAGCACGACGACTTGGCAAAAGCCACAATTTTCTGGAGAAACCCATCTTAATAGTCATTTGCAAATTGAACTCTTTCATTGACTCTCACGTCCGTGAACTAAGAAAGCGTGGGCATCCACGTGTTACTTCACTGTCAAACGAAGAGGACGAGAAAGAAATACTAGATGGAGAGTTTACATTCGCATTTTGTAATCCCGAGTCTATTATTCGAAGTGCGAAATGGAGAGGAATGGTTTCATTTGAAATCTACAAGACAAATTTGCTTGCTTTTGTAATAACAGACAAAGTTCACGTCGGCCCAAAGAGGTGTGTTTAATAAATTTATAAAATACAGATTTTTTTGAATGTATATTGCAGGATTAAATTGAATGTATATTGCAAGATTAAAGTGAATGAATATAAATATATATTTATATTAAATTGAATAGATGTGATGTTTTAAATTGAATGAAATTCAGGAGAATGAATATTGCTACAAATGGGCAGGCATACACTAGACAGTAAACATGCGATAAAATTACAAAATTAAACGAAACTTACCTGGAAGTTGAAGTTTGATTGGGATTCTATCTTGGTCATCAGTCCGGAACGAAGGAGTAACATGAGATGCGCATGCGCATTGCTGATCAGTATTCAACGTGAGTAGTGCAGGAGATTTAATAACAAATATGGGAAGGGTGGGTATTTAGGGCATGTTACTCCTTCGTTCCGGACTGATGACCAAGATAGAATCCCAATCAAACTTCAACTTCCAGGTAAGTTTCGTTTAATTTTGTAATTCTATCTTGTCATCAGTCCCTGTCACGAAGGGGTCCCATGAGATTTCAAAGTCCTGTGCTACGAACTACCAAGCACATTGAACAATGTAAATAAATTTCAATGAACTTTAATTAAACAATATCAACCAAGAATAGACATTTTTATGCTCACTGTTTTAACAATACACTACCAAAGTTTTGGCTAACAATATCCACTGGTTTTTCATAAAAGGTTGCAAATGTCCCAGCATTCGACCAGCCTGCCGCATCCATTATTGCCTTCATGGTAAGACCTTTAGCCTTGCAACTTGATGTTGATGCTGCGCGGCAACTATGAGCAGAATATTTTTTGACATCAATTCCAGCTGATCTGAGAACAAGTTTGACCCAACGCGCGATTGTGTCTTTCGAGACTGGCTTAAAGGGTTTGATGTAGCTCAGTAATAGTTGAGATATTGGGTTCTATGCTGTTCGGTTCTCTGCAAATATGCCTCCACCGTCTTGACAACACACAGCTTTTCCTCCTCTGGAAATGCCAGTAGGTCAATTGGTGCCAAGTGTTTTCCTGGTTTTGTGTGCTTCAACTTGTCGTTAATGATGATTCTGTATCTGTCTGGTAACGCTTGAATCCCATTGACACCCATTTTATGTATTGTCTGTCCTCGTCCAGTGGTGAGGCAAAGTAGTGTAGTTAGTTTTAATGTGAGTTCCTTGAGTGGTAAGGAGGCAACTTGCTCCAACGTCTTTAAATAATTTAAGACAACAGTAACATCCCATATCTCTGAATATTTGGGTAAAGCTGGCCGTATTTCAAATATGCCTTTCATGTAGCGAATAACTAGGGGGTGTTCCCCAAATTTAACGCCCTCGTCTAATATAAGTAAGTTAGAAAGCGCTGAACGAGCAGTGTTTATGGCACTGTAACCTATACCTAAATGGTACAGTGAAACAAGAAACTCAATGGCATTCTCCAAGCCTGGTTTAATTACATCAATTTGCCGTTCCTTGCAATAAACCTGTTTTGATGTACCCGGTCTCCACGAAGCCATAATTATCTCTTTTGCGTCAGCGGATAAATCGTATCTTTCTAGTTTCTCCCGGACAAGAGGCAGATTATAAGGTTCATTTTTTGCCAAATTGGATGTACTTCCTGTGGATGACTTGGTAGGCTGAGAAGACTTTTGCTGGCTTTGATGTAAACTGGCTCCTGTGTCATCATGTGAAACGCTTTTGCATACCAGCTCTGGGTTGGCCAGTTCGGCAACACACATATTCCTGACCTCCCTCTTTTTGGATCTTTGCCAGCATAGCTCCAATGACACTAAATGGTGGGAAGGCGTAAAATTTTAAGTTCGCCCATGATAAGGTGAATGCATCTATTGCACAAGCATTTGGGTCTGGTCGGTATGCAACATATTTTGGGAATTGCTTGTTTACCCGAGTTGCAAATAAGTCGATCTCTGGGCTAAAGTTAAGCTTAATCAAGGTATCTGAAAGCAATGCCTTATTTAACATCCATTCAGATTCCCTTTGATGTCGCCTTGATTCATAATCCGCCACCAAATTTTGTTTTCCCGGGATGTGGGCTACGGTGAGCCATATGTTTTTATCTATACACCACTCCCAAATTTGCTTTGCCATATTATTGCAAATGTCAGAGTGACTTGTACCCATGTGATTTATAACATTAACCGCAGTGGTATTATCACACATTCTAATGTGTGTGTTATTCAGATTTTTTGCAAATGTCTGTAGGCCAAGAAAGATGGCTAACATTTCCAGGTAGTTAATGTGATTTGTAGCTTCAGACTTAATCCACATTCCCCCTGTAGATATATCTTGGTACTCAGCCCCCCATCCCGAGAGGGAGGCATCAGTAGTGATTTTGTGTTGTGGCTCCTCATGTGTCAATTTCTGAAAGGAGTTTTCCACATGACACTCCCACCAGTGTAATTCCGTTTTTGCACCCTGTGATAGTGCCATTGTCGCATCAAAATCCCCTTTTGCTTCTTTTAGGGCCTGGGTTTTATCTTTATCCAACTCCCTGTAGTACAAGGGTCCGTACATAACCCCCGGGAAGCTTGCCACTATTTTACCAATAATTCTCGCAACCTCTCGTATTGTTTGTGGTTTGGAGGCCGTCCTTAAAGCTTTACAAGCCTTTTTTAAATCAATAGCTTTATCGCTAGTC